AACCTTTCTCGCCACAGTTGTTAAGTGAATCAATGAAGCTGTTAAGTTAGGAACACGGTTGTTAAGTGAATCTGGTTTTCCCATTGACTTTGCTGATCGGATCACATGACCTCTCGTGACACTTCAACGGTCATAAATGCGGGTCAGTTCCCAAGCATCTCAATTTTGATCACGTGACCGCAGGGATGTTGTAATGGTCGTAAGTGTGAAAAATGGTCAAAAATCCCTTTTTTCAGTTCCGTTGTAACGTTGAACAGTCGCTAAGTGGACTGTTGTAAGTCGAGGACTACCAATATGGTTTAGGACAAACAGCCTGTATTTTTCTCGTAAGACACAGTTATCTGTATGCCAGCTGTTCATATTTTTTTCAGCATCATTTGTATTGTAGAAGCTTGACTCATAATAAGCAAAAACAAATTCTGACACTTACAGTAACGTCAGTGAATATAATGAGATCCGTTAATGGCAAATTGTAAGGATGAATGGAAGAGAGAAAAGGTTTTGCACATTTATCCTTTAGTATATATCAGAACTGCTCTTTTTCCAGGCTGACATAGAGCATATGTTTTTCTCCTACCTGGTCTATTTTATTCTCACAACAACCTTGTCAGTTATATTTTAATTTCAGGTCACACAGCAAAGGACTGTGTGAAAAATAGGAAATGTCCCTGTGAATTTAATTTATCCCAACGCTAAAAAGTGGATATCAACTCAATATCCAAAAGTGGATATCAACTCAATATTTTAAAATCTGCAGTTGAACAAAACTTTCAATAAGTATCAACAAGCAAGACCAAAAGTTTTTTTTTTTTTTAAAGAGGAAATCAGATAACGAACAGCTGTAACTAACATTCCCAGGCTGAAAATGCAAATGGTTTTGCAGAATAATGAGTTGTCATGATCATGAATTATCGCCATCAGCTAAAGCGCATTTAATCATTAACAACCGCAGCCTACTTTTGTTCATTGAAAAACAAATCCTACAATGGAGCCACAGCCTTAAGAAACTAAAATGAACAACCAAATAACCATTATTATTCATAAGAGTCCTATCCCAGACTTCTTAACATAGAATAACAGAGTTGGAAGGGACCTTGGAGGTGGTAGATTTTGGAGAAACCCTTCCATACTTCCACCTCTCACAATACTAGACAACACAGTATCAACAGTAGAGACCTTCAAATTTCTAGGTTCTACCATATCACAAGATCTAAAATGGACAGCTAACATCAAAAACGTCATCAAAAAAAGCACAACAAAGAATGTTCTTTCTGCACCAACTCAGGAAGCTCAAACTGCCCAAGGAGCTGCTGATTCCGTTCTACAGAGGAATTATTGAGTCTGTCATCTGCACCTCTATAACTGTCTGGTTTGGCTCTGCAACCCAACAAGACAGACACAGACTTCAGAGGATAAGTAGAACTGCAGAAAAAACAATTGCTACCAAACTGCCTTCCACTGAGGACCTGTATACTGCACAGTCAAAAAGAGAGCTGTAAAAATATTTACAGACCCCTCGCATCCTGGACATAAACTGTTTCAACTCCTACCCTCAAAACGACGCTATAGAGCACTGCACACCAGAAAAAAACTAGACACAAGAACAGTTTTTTCCCAAACGCCATCACTCTGCTAAACAAATAATTCCCTCAACGCTGTCAAACTATTTACTAAGTCTGCACTACTATTCTCATCGTTCCCACCACCCATCTCCTTCCACTTATGACTGCACGACTGTAACTTTGTTGCTTGTATCCTTACGATTTATATTGATATTGTTTCCTGATTGCTTATTTGTACCCTATGACTATCATTAAGTGCTGTACCTTATGATTCTTTATGAGCTATAATTGCACTCAACAATGAACTAAAGGGCCACCATCAGTGAGCTGTTGGACAATATTACTTGGTCTGTTGTGTGGATGTTTGGGTGGTTTAGGGGTGGACAATTGTGGTGGGTGGGGGTGTGTTTGGGAATTGTTATGTGTATTGGACCTGGTCTTTGGGTGTTAAGTGAATTTCATTGTATGGGTATACTGTGCATATACGTACAATGACAATAAAGTTATTATTATTATTATGAATGTATCTTCCCTTATGTACACTGAAAACATATGCCCCAAGACAAATTCCTTCCTTCCAAATCACACTTGGCCAATAAAAAATTCTATTCTATTCTATTCTATTCTATTCTATTCTATTCTATTCTATATAGTCCAACCCTCTGCTCAAGCAGGAGATCCTATACCATTCCAGCCAGGTGGCTGTCCAGTTTCTTCTTGAAAGCCTCCAGTGATGCAGCACCCACAATTTCTGAAGGCAAGCCATTTCACTAGTTAATTGTTCTCCCTGTTAGGAAGTTTCTCCTTAGTTCTCAGATGGTTAGTTTCCATCCATTGTTTCTTGTCTTGCCTTCTGTTGACACCCTCATCTTTGTGGCAGCCCCTTTCTTCAACCTGAAGCTCTCCAGATAAGTTGGGACTAAATGTTTGAGAATTCTGCGAAACGGGAAAAGGCCATTTGGAATATACTCAAGTGGAAAACCCAAAGGGCTTATTATGATCCATACTTTAATAATGCTTCATAGCTATCAACTAGTCCTGCTCCACTGAACAGCTTTAATATTTTACCAATCTTCTCCAACCTGGTATCTTTCAAGGGGTGACAGATGACAACTTCTCTAATTTCCCAGAACAGGGAAGATGGGATTTGTAGTCCAACATTAATGGAAAACCATGCAAGGAACATTAATTGGGAGATAAGACATTCTAGTAAAATTACAACAGTCTAACAGGAGAATGCAGTACAGTCACAGCAGATGGCAGTATTGAGCAGATTCTGTCTGATTTTCTAGAGAAGTAAAGTCCTGGTAGGGGTTGAGTTAGAAGCCAGGAGATTGTGAGTTCTAGTCCCGCCTTGGGCATGAAAGCCACCTGAGAGATTTTGGGTCACTCACTCTCTCTCAGCCCAACCCACCTCACAGGGTTGTTGTCATCGGGGCAAATAGGAAGGAGTACTAGGTATGTTTGCCACCTTGAGTTACTTATAAAGTAATGAAGGTGGGATGCAACTCTAATGAATAAAATAAATCAATGAACTAAGCACAGTTAGATCTCGTAAGGGTGGGACACCACTAGGAAAAGATGAAAGCTGGACTGGAAAGTTGATAAACCTCTAAAAGAAGGCAGTGTAAATTTTGCCAAGGACACGCTGTGGAAATGCCCACCAAAAGTCAAGCTGACCCTGATGAAAAGCTAGCCACTGTTTTTTTTTAAAAAAAGCTATTTTTAAACTATTCTGATATTGGAGTGTTGCAATGTGTGTGTGTACAGACATGCAGTGGTGAAAGAGCTGGATTCTTCTGGCTTTGTTAAAAGATTTGCCAATTTTTTTTTTTAAAAACTGCCTCTTCACACATCGCAAAGCGTTCCACACACACAATTTACCAATTCTATTATTTCTGATTAACGATAATGGTGCACCCTTAAGTCAGGGGTCCTCAAACTTGGCAGCTTTAAGACTTGTGGACTTCAACTCTCAGCATAGCTGGCTGGAGAATTCTGGGAGTTGAAGTCCACAAGTCTTAAAGCTGCCAAGTTTGAAGACCTCTGCCTTAAGTTATTTTCAACTCTTACCGACTACCCTGATAGATCCATATTCTTTCTAGCTGTAGGAAAAACTGACCTCCAGTAGCTGCTAGGGTTCAAAAGCGACAAGGGGCAAGGGGGAGTGGATGAATCCAGACCAAAGATATCCCAATATTCTCCAAAGCACCTGAGGGCAGGTCAAGAAGTAATGGGTGGAAATCTGGAGAATTGTAAGCACGAAATGATTTCAACCGATTGAGATGCTGTCTATAATTGTTTGTAAGGATGATATTTTTATGTTGTTGTTGTGTTTTGTTTTGTTTTTTTTTTTAATCTAAAATAAAACTTTTTCAAAAAAAAAAGAAGTAATGGGTGGAAACTAATCTATTTATTATTGTTGTTTTTATTGTGATTTTATTGCTGTGAGCCACCCCGAGTCCTTTGGGAGAAGGGTGGCATATAAATTCTAATAAACTTAAACTTAAACTTAATCCAGGAGAGAAGCAACCTAGAACTAAGGAGAAATTTCCTGACAGTTAGAACAATTAATCAGTGGAACAACTTACTTCCAGAAGTTGTAAATGCTCCAACACTGGAAGTTTTTAATAAGATGTTGGATAACCATTTGTCTGAAGTGGTATAGGGTTTCCTGCCTAAGCAGGGGGTTGGACTAGAAGACCTCCAAAGTCCCTTCCAACTCTGTTATTCTATTAATTAAGATTAATTTGCTTTCAGAAGTTGTGAATGCTCCAACGCTGGAAGTTTTTAAGAAGAGATTGTATAACCATTTGTCTGAAGTGGTGTAGGGTTTCCTGCCTAAGCAGCGGGCTGGACTAGAAGACCTCCAAGTCCCCTTCCAACTCTGTTATTCTGCTAATTATAGATTTTGAGGAGTCTCATTAGTATCTTTCCCACGTACTGATAACACATCGAATTAAATGAAACTTCCACTGGGCAGAATGAGCCTGCTAAATATTCTTCGTTTAGGGTTCTCCCATAACTTACCAAGCCCTACTAAGCAGGTACATACAAAAGTATGAAGGCTATTGCTTTTAACGCATTGTAAGCCGCCCTGAGTCTCTGGAAAAGGGCGGCATATAAATCGAACCAATAAATAAATAAATAAACTAATAAATAAACTAATAAATAAATAAATATATATATAAAGAAAGAAGACAGACAGACAGACAGACAGACAGACAGACAGACAGACAGACAGACAGACAGACAGAAAGAAAGAAAGAAAGAAAGAAAGAAAGAAAGAAAGAAAGAAAGAAAGAAAGAAACTTGACAGGTGTCAGTCATACTGACAGGGCATCTTCGGGTGGGGAGGGGCGGGGAGGAGAGTTGTATGATCATATAATAATTCACGGAAACCTCTTTGAGCCAAGGTGACCGAAGAAGCCCACTTACCTCATATAGCCCAGGTAAGGCGAATAAAAGGGCTGCTGGCCGTGGAAGCCGAGCGGCTGGTACAGGCCTTGAGGCGGGGCGGCCGAGGTAGAGGGCAAAGCAAGAGCCTCCCTCTGCGTTATGGAGCCGGCGGAGGCTTTGTAAGGCGCTGGTCCGTATGAGGCCGGGAGGGCGCCGGCCGTGGCTGCAGCCACCTCCGCCTTGTAGAGGACGCACTCCAGGGTGGAGGACGGGACGGAGGTCGTGGCGGCGGCTTCTAGGCTGCTCATGCTAGTATTCTTGGGCAGCGAAGGGGCGCCGATCGGCGGAGCGTAGTCCGGGCAAGGCCCCGGGGCGGCCGTTAAAGTCCCGGGCCCCAAATGCCCGCCGCCTTCGCTGCTGTTTTGGCCCACGGCCGCCGCGAGGCTCTCCTCTTTGATCTTGAAGCTGGGCTGAAAGTCCCCGCCGGTGCCCAAGAGGTAAAGCGGCGGCGGCGGCGGCGGCTGGTGCCCGTCTTTGGGCGGGTAGACGAAGCCGGAGAAGTCCTGGAGGTTGCAGGAGGCGGGCGAGGAAGCGGCGTTGGGGTGGCCGCAGAAGGGGCTCCAGTCCTGGCACTCTTCCACGTCCAGCAGCTGCCGCGTCCGGGCGGCTAAGTAAGCCGGGTTGAGAGGCAGGATGGGCACGTTGAGAAATTCGGGGCAGGCCGAGGGGGCGGCCAGGGGGGAGCGCCCCGAAGCCGCCAGGAGCTTGCAAGAAGGGGAAGAGGAGGGAGGCTCTACTACCGCGTGGCCGAGCCCGGGCACCAGGTCTTCCTCCGCCGAGCAAGGCTGTTGCTGTTGCTGCTGCTGCTGCTGCCCTCCTTTAGGCAGCGTGGAGGCTCCGGGGGCTGGAGCCCTGCCCCTCGGGCTCTTAAAAGGAGCTCCCGCCGCATCTTTAGCCGCCTTCCAAAGGGAAGGAGAGGCGGCGGCCGGGGGCGAAAGAGGCGGAGGAGGCGGCGGCGGCGGCAGGAGGGAAGCGGCGGCGGCGGCGGCGGCGGGCGCGCCCTCTTCTTTGCCGTCGAGGGAGCGGCGGGTGGGGAGCCCGGAGGACAAGTCGGGGATCTCCGAGCCGAAGAAAGACGACCAAGCCGCCGAAGGGCTGTCCGTGTGGCTGGAAGCCGAGGTCAGAAAAGTATCCAGGACTCGGTCCAGGGCATCTTTGCCCGACGGCAAGCCCGAACTTTCCTGGGTCAAGGAAGAGGCCGCGGGCTGGTCTCCTGCCTTGAGACATGAGTTTTCTTCCTCTCCCTGGTCTTCCTCGTCGTCGTCCTCCTCCTCCTCGTCTTCCTCGTCCTCCTCGTCTTCGCTGCTTCTGGCATACAGGAGGCCGTCCAGGGTCAGATCGATGGCCTCGACCCTCTCCCTTCCAACGAAAGGATCCCGATCCGATGGGTGAGGAGGTACCAGGAGGACTGACCCATCCTGGGTGGAAGAGGTGGAGGCAGCCGAGGGCTCCCTGGTCACTCCCTTGGCTTTCATCTTCCCTGGCACACCCCGAAAATTTCACGGAAGGCGCACCTGAGTAGACCTAAAGCTGGACGGGACGGGCGGGGCGCAGCCTCTGCACCCTGGACATCCAAATCCTTCGGTTGGTCACATCCTCGGAACCAACGGGGTGGGGGGATGGGGGGGGTTGCTTACTCCTGGAGCTGGGTGTGGGGGGGGCTGGAGAGGAGGGGAGGGGGTGCTCCGGCTGGGCAGGCCTGGTTGCTCGGCTAACTCCCACTCGGGATCGCGTTTCACGTGGGAGAAAGTGGCTGGATCCCAAAGGCTTTACGCGCGCTTGGCTCGCCACCGCCGCTCCATGCCAAGGCTGGCTGAGGTCCGTTTCCCAAGAATCAGCCCGTCCCGGGTGCAGAAGAGTCCCCGCAGGCACCTCGGAAGGAGGTTTCGGGGGCCGCACCTGCTTTGCTTTCCCAGGAAAAGGAGGGGGGGGGGGAAATAATGCACCTGCGTGGCGGTGCTGGATCAGCGCTCTCGAACTCGACGGCGGTTGCAAACTTTTGTCTCCTTTAAGGATTCCGCCCGTCCCGTCCTGCCACGGCGGCCCTTCTTGCGAGAAACGGCGGAGGCGCTTCCTCCAGGTCTCAGGTCGGCTACCTCTCGGTCCCCAGGCGGCTGCAGAAAGCCGTCCCGACTTCTCGCTGTCCTGTCCAGGATGAGCGCCGGATTGTAATGCTAAAGCGAGAAGTGGGGAAGTCGAACCAACCTGCTCGCCTGAATCCGAAACCCGAGCTCTGCGCTGCCCCCTGGCGGCCGATTCCTGCTCCTGACGGAATTTAGGAAACGAGGCGGTGGGGCCAGCCCTACTGGCCGGGCGCCCTTCGGCTCCTCCTCTTTGCTCTGATGCTTTCCACCGCCTCTAATCGCTAGCCACGTCTCCCCTTCTTCTCTTCTCTTCTCTTCTCTTCTCTTCTCTTCTCTCTCTCTCTATCTCTCTTTTTTTCCCCCCCTTTCCAGATTTGGGAGGAGGAGGAGGAGGAGGAAGAAGAGGAGGAGGAGGAGGAGGAGGGACCCAGGCTGCAACTTTAGCAAAGTCAAAAAGGCAATAGGGCAGTGTTTCTCAACCTTGGAGGCTTGAAGATGGGTGGACTTCAACTCCCAGAATCCCCCAGCCAGCAGCGCTGGCTGGGGGATTCTGGGAGTTGAAGTCCACCCATCTTCAAGCCTCCAAGGTTGAGAAACACTGGCATAGGGGATGGATAATTCAAAGGTGCACATCTGCAGGGAGCAGGGGGCAGAGAGTCTCACAACCCTCGGACTCCGCAACCCTCACAACCCACAACCCTCTGGGCGTCGCTGCTGCTCTCGCTGGTCCTGAGATGGATCAACGGAGTGAGAAAAGTGAGGAGAGAGAGTGACCCATCACTGGTAGCAGATAAGTGAAGCAATTAGGCAGTGTGTGTGTGTGTGTGTGTGTGTGTGTGTGTGTGTGTGTGTGTGTGTCCATCCGTCCGTCCCCTTGGGGATTGCCCCACTCTTTCTTTCTGTCCGTCCCCCAAAGCACAGGGCTTAGAAAGGTCAGGAGAACCTATAATGTAGTACATCAACCTTACTCACACCTGACGTGCCACAGCTACCTTTTTTTCAGGTGTGTCCACATAACAGAGCCTTCTTGTGGTCTCCAGCTTTAAGCCTAAACCAGTAGGTAGCCCTTATGACCGCAACTGAGCCCAACATTTCTGTTGTTAAGTGAGACATTTGCTAAGTGAGTTTTGCCCCCATTTTACCATCTTTCTTGCCACAGTTGTTGTTTTTTTTAATGTATTTTATTCATTTTAGGAAATTTCTATTGCCGCCTATTCGCACCTGGCGACTAAAGGCGGCTTACAGGAATAGATAGATAGGTAGATAGATAGATAGATAGATAGATAGATAGATAGATAGATAGATAGATAGATAAATAGATGAGAGAGAGAGAGAGAGAGAGATGATGGATGGATGGATGGATGGATGGATGATAGATAGATAGATAGATAGATAGATAGATAGATAGATAGATATAGATGAGAGAGAGAGAGAGATATGGATGGATGGATGGATGATAGATAGATAGATAGATAGATAGATATGAGAGAGAGAGAGAGAGATGGATGGATGGATGATAGATAGGAGAGAGAGAGAGAGAGATGATGATGGATGGATGGATGGATGGATGGATGGATGATAGATAGATAGATAGATAGATAGATAGATAGATAGATAGATAGATAGATAGATAGATATGAGAGAGAGAGAGAGAGAGAGAGGATGGATGGATGATAGATAGATAGGAGAGAGAGAGAGATGATGGATGGATGGATAGATGATAGATAGATAGATAGATAGATAGATAGATAGATAGATAGATAGATAGATAGATAGATAGGCAGGAAGGCAAGCAGGCAAGCAGGCAGGTAGATAGAGATAGGTATAGGTATAGGTATAGAGATAGATATAGAGATATATAGATATAGATATAGATATAGATATAGATATATCCTGTATATATCCTGTATATATTGTGGGTGTGGGTCAGTGGTGGATTGCCTCCAGTTCGCACCGGTTCTATAGAACTGGTAGTAAAACCGGCGGGAGGCCCCACCCACCGACCCTGACATCATCAAAATGCTTCTGCGCATGCACAGAAGAGCGTGCGTGCGACCCCACTGCGAACCGGTAGTAAAGGTAAGTAGAACCTACCCCTGGTGTGGGTATGGATGTATATCGGTGGTTTTCAAAAAATTTTACTACCGGTTCTGTGGGTGTGGCTTGCTGGGCGTGGCATGGCTTGGTGGGTGTGGCTTGGTGGGCGTGGCAGGGGAAGGATACTGCAAAATCCCCATTTCCTCCCAATCAGCTGGGACTTGGGAGGCAGAGAATAGATGGGGGTGGGGCCAGTCAGAGGTGGTATTTACCAGTTCTCCGAACTACTCAAAATTTCCACTATCAGTTCTCCAGAACTGGTCAGAAGCTGCTGAAACCCACCTCTGGTGTATACACACACACACACACACACACACACACACACACACACACAATAAATGTTAAGTGAATCACTGCAGTTGATAAGTTAGTAACCCAGTTGTTAAGTGAATCTGGCTTCCGTATTACCTTTGCTTGTCAGAAGGTTGCAAAGGAGACCCCAGGACAATGCAACCATCATAAATATGAGTCAGTTGTACAGCACCTGAATTTGGATTAGATGACCATGGGGATGCTGTATAGGTCATAAACGTAAAAAATGGTCGTAAGTCACTTTTTTCAGTGCCGTTGTAACTGTGAACTATCGCTAAACAAACTGTTGTAAGTGGAGGACCACCTGCATTTCTCAACCCTGGCAACTTTTAAGAGGTGTGGACTTCAACTCTCAGAAATCATGGTGCTAGAGCTTATTGTGGTATTCTCCATGGACAGACTCAAGGTGTACAAAAACCATGGGAAGAGGAGCAAATAGAGGCAGGACAGTAACCACCAGTACCCAGCAGCCAATTTCATTCGGAGGTAATTTTCTACAGAGAGGAATATGTGTGAAGAGTACTTCAGCTCAAACAAAGAAGATACCGTTACTTACTAGGGATGCTGTTAAAGGCTGAACTACCAAATCATTAATCCAAAGCCACATTTTGCATACTCCATGGGTTCTTGCTGCTGGGCACTGCCCCCAGCGGTGAAATGCTATTGGTTCACACCGGTTTGGGAGAACTGGTAGCGGCGGTGGAGCGTGGTTTAGTGAACCGGTAGTGGCGGCAGCGTGAAGCTCCGCCCATCCGCCTGGATGTTGTTACTTCCTGGTTTTAACCAGGAAGTAACCTGTCTTTGACCCTCTGCGCATGCACAGAAGGCTTTGAGCATGCGCAGAGGGTCCAAAACCGCATGTGACACACGCACTTCTGAACCTGTAGGGAAGGTAAATAGATTTCACCCCGACTGCCCCCCTTGCCATGCTTTGGTAGTGCTAAGTCCAAGTGGGGTCAATTGTTCCTTCCTTCACATCACTCTTGCTCTGCATTGACTGACAGGTCGAAGAATAGAATAGAATAGAATAGAGTAGAGTAGGGTAGGGTAGGGTAGAGTAGAGTAGAGTAGAGTAGAGTAGAGTAGAGTAGAGTAGAGTAGAACAGAACACAACAGAACAGAACAGAACAGAACAGAACAACAGCACAGCAGAGTTGGAAGGGACATTGGAGGTCTTCTAGTCTAACCCCTTGCTTAGACAGGAAACCCTATAGCATTTCAGACAAATGGTTATCCAATCTCTTCCGGATGAAGAAACCCAATGATCCTTGCAATCTGTAGGCGGTCAATCCAGCTCTTTCTGAACGTGGCTCTCGCACTCTAAACCTGGGTCTATAAATAGAGTCCATAACTTCTGGGAGGCCTGTTTTTCACCCACCCCAGGCTCCAGAGGCTTTCCTCGAGCCTCTGGGAGGGCAAAAAGAGTCTCCCACGGGCTCTGGAGGCCGGAAACGTGCCCATTTCTAGACTTCTGGAACTTCCGAAAGGCCCATTTTTCACCCTCCCAGAGCCTCTGCACAGGCGCTGTACTTACCTGGCATCCAAAAGAGGCCACGTGGAGATTCCTTGGAGGGGAGGGGAGGGGTGGGAGGGCAGGGGTGGGGTGGGAGGGGCCAGCCAGTCCTTGAAACTACCGGTTCGGCAAACCAGATGTAAAATTAGCATCCGGTTCACCCGAATCAGTCCGAACCTGCTGAATCCCACGCCTGGGTCTATAAATAGAGGTAGACCTCTACTTATGACCGCAACTGAGCATCAGATTTCAGTTGCTAAGCACGGCAGTGGTTAAGTGAGTTTTGCCCCATTTTGCAACCTTTTTTTTGCCACAGTTGTTAAATGAATCACTGCACTGCTTATGCGTACCATGTAGTTGTTAATTGAATCTGGCTTTCACCACGGACTTTGCTTGTGGGAAGATGGCCAGGAAGGTTACAAAGGGTGATCCCATGAACCCAGCACAGTACAACTCTCATCAATACCTGCCATTTGCCAAGTGCCCAAATTTTGATCACATGACATGGGGATGCTGCAACAGTCATACAATATGTGTGAAAAATAGCGACAGCAATAG